TGCCCTCTCTCTCTCCATTTCTATTTAACTTTGGTATAGATCTGATTATGGAAACAGCCCTATTCTCGTGCGAGGATAGTGGCATCAGTTTACTCTCAAGTGGCAGGCTGTCTGATCTAGAGTACGCAGACAACATTTTGCTACTAAGTGAAGATTCAGGTAAGTTGCAAGCATTTCTGGATAACTTGAATGCCAGTGTAGCCATATTTGGTTTTGCACCTTCAAAGTGTAAAATGTTGCTACAAGACTGGGTTAGTCCAGCACCCAGCCTCACTCTAACTGGGGAAGTAATAGAGCAGATGGATAAGTTTTGTTATTTGGGCAGCTACATCTCACCCCGNCGCATCACGGATGAAGTGTCAGCTCGCATACAGAAGGCTCGGTTGGCATTTGCTAATTTGAGACATCTGTGGCGCCGTCGCGACATCCGGTTGTCTGTGAAGGGTCGAGTGTATGCCGCGACAGTTCGGCCAGTTCTGCTATACGGTGCAGAAACTTGGCCATTAAGAAAACAGGATAAAGACAGACCGTCGGTGTTTGAACACCGCTGTCTACGCAGCATTGCATGAATCTGGTGGGGTAACCGGATGAGCAATGCTGAGGTTAGACGCAGAGTTTTAGGTATCCGCAGTCGCCCACTGGAACAAGTGGTCGACCTCCAGAAATTACGTTGGTTGGGACATGTGTTAAGCATGTCACCAGGTAGGTTACCACGGCGAGCGATGCTCACCGAAGCAGATGCCGAGTGGAAAAAAGTCAAGGGTGGTCAACCTAAGACCTGGCACGAGGGTATGAAAACCCTTAACAGGAGACTGGGTCACATAGGTTCTGTTAGGCTCCCTGGCTGGGGACCTCGGGATGATCGTAACCCGGGGTTAGAGACACTGAGTGATATGGCTGGGTGTCGCAACCAGTGGCGTTCGTACATCTTCCCAATCTCTTTGCAACCTCAGATCACTGAACTTCTCCATTTTCTTTTCGACTGCACTTTTAAGTTTTCTTTCTTCTCCTATTCTTCATCCAAATGGGCAGCCTAGAGAGAGCAACCAAAACCGGCGCACGAATATGCGTGGTTAGTGGTTGTTCAAACGGAAAACCAGGGATCCCACTTGAGTATTGCAGTCGACGGCGACCACTACGATGTTCGATTGTTGTGAGATACTACTCACTTGTGAGTATTAATTGATTTCAACGATCAAAAATGAACAAGATCACCGAGGGGAATTTGCTGGGTCTCAAAGAATAACGATTGATTGCTACATTCATTACCCTTCGTGCGAACAGGAACGGCGATGGTATGTTTCTGACTAGGTTTTGTGTTATGCATGCAAAATTACTGACCTCCTATTTGTAATCCTCCATAAATGACTATCCTCGACCAGCATTGCCTTTCTGGAATCATAACACGATAAACAAACACTTTGGAGCAGTTGAAAAAAGATCCTTGCAGAATTTATCTTCGATTTCAGGTGCACCGCAATCGGTCAATGCGTGAACGGACAGGGAAACTAGGCACTCACGCTTCGTTCTGTAGCGGCTGGCTCGTACTGAACCGCTCACAGTCAGCTACTGAATTAAATCAAGTCGAGAAGCGAGCGCTCAGTCTTGGTAACTAGCGCAATCCCGACACCAGCAACATCGCTGGCTTCGGATGTCGAATCGCCTGACATACGGAGAGTGAAGTGTGCGGATGAGATTGGAGCGCAAGGTGATAAGCAAAGTGCGAGTTTCGGAGACACAGCGTATGTCAAAACGGAAAGTTCCAAGGGTTCTGATAAAGTGTGCAGACATTAAGTGAAGCCAAGTAAAATGGAGAGCTGGGTTTTATCAATGTTATAGCTTTTGGTTGATTGACCTTACTGGTTGAACACTGAGCGACTTCCCATGGGTAGTGTAAACAGGATGGTGAGTGAGTGAGAGGAAGAACAAGAAAGAGAGGGTTTTCTAGATGGGTGTCCGAGATTTTGGGGTACAACATACTTCGCGGTAGCCCACACCGACGAAAGGGTTTTTCTTTGGGAACCCTAACCGGAGCCTTCGATTCAAAATTCTGACCCACAAGGCAGTGGGGCGTAAATCCAACGCGGGAGCGTGACCGAAGCAGCCGTGAGGGAGCTTCTCGGGACTTATCACACAAGGCCTTTGAATTTCGATTAGTTGTGTTGTTTGCTGGTGCGTTGATTATCGATTCACTTTTCGGGATCGGCCCTTAGTCTCATGCACCCAATGAGACAGCCGGAACGTAGACGGGNGGACAGCTCCTTATTGGCTGGAGGCCGCCCAGCTGTCCAACGAAGTGTGAAGACGTCTCCCACCGTAGAAAGGAAGACCCAGGTATCCCACTCCTGCATCCATCTACCGGGGGTTTGATCGGTAAACTGCCCTTCCCCGTGTTTACTGGCTGGAGTGATTTCTTCGGTGACGAGAGCTGATAGTCAGTGGCACCAGGAGGTGCCCGATCCGCTAGTCTTCTGAAATTGAGCTTTGCCTGGCCTCTACCCATTGAGCTTTCAGACATGATTGGATCTGCCACCGTGTCATGGTCATGGGGGTATGCAAGCCAGTACACCACGTCAAGGTACAGCCTCGTCGTGATCATCATCTATTTCGGTTTCGGATTATTTTTTGCCCTAACAACAGAGAACAATTCACAATTCACACAGTCAGATCCTTCAAGAGTGGAACACGACGTTTACACGGACCGATCCCAGACTGACCAGAACCATTTGCCAACAACAGTGATCTGTAAAAGAATCTAAGTAAAAACAATTGCAAATTTTGCATAAATTATATCGTCTAAATGGATTACGTTATTGCTAGTACATTCTGCAACCAAAAGAAGGACATAACCTAAGTAAAATGAAACGAAAGTAGAAAACTGGAACATTAATTTCTTGAGATAAACTTGGAGAGAACACAATAGAGATATGTTAGACGAGGTAGGCAGATTTTGCTGTATCTCAACGGATATAATATACGGTAGAAAATCTGGGCCAATGTCGTTGAACAGTATAACAGTTAGGAATCATGGTCCGAAAAACCAATTAAGGGGTCATCTATTTTAAAACCAATCCCCTACTCCTCGTGTTCTGGTGTCAGTAGAAGACGGAAACCTGTCCTGTGTGTGTGCAAAATAAACTCAGACACACTATCACTCCTTTGGTACTGGTAAGAAGTGTGAGTATTCGACCATGTCGTGGTCGTGTGTAACTGATGTACTGCCTACTAATACAGACTGTTGTTTACTGCTGTACTACACCCGTTGGAATGCAATGAAATCTGCCTTGGTTCGGTTAGTTCGAGAAACTAAAGTGATTAGAAACGCCCTGTCTGATTCGTACCTGAGCAAAACCAGATCAGCTACATTGGCCGTGGTAAGTCGACGCACCAATCGTGTTGTGATCAGATCGATACTGGGCAGTTCTGGTTTTACGGTCACGTTGCCAGCGGAGGCTTTTGTTTCTGTAGTTCCCGTGCCATGTGCGGACGTCATACCGGACGATGTGGAATTGTTTCGGCGCTTCGCTTTACCGGATCGGGAGCGTTGCGAGCTTGCAATTTGTATATCATCGTCATCGTCATCATCATCGTCAAAACGCAAGGCAGCCTCAGCCTGTGTGGATGTCAAGACATGAAACACAACATTCAAACGAGACTGTACACAATGCACACAATGTTATTTATCAGTGGGATCTATGACTGTGTCCAGTCCCAAGACAAGTTGTAAAAAGAGAGTGAGACAGAGCTGTCAAAGAAAAGTTGATACAATCGAGTTAGAAGTAGGCAACAGGCTAAAAGAAGAGTCGATTATCGCAGTCAAAATGTGAAATGGAAAGAAAATTTTGCAAAACAATGAACGCGTTGAGTGAACAATCATAGAGGTGTGTTATTTGTTGTGGGGATACAGGCCGAAGGCCTATGCATGACCAAAGAAACATCCACTTGGAAAGCAAACGCAAACTGATTGTTAGTGAGATTGTTTTGTTTATTTCATTTTATCATAAAGGAGGGAACGCACAACCATGGGAACCAACTAATCGTTCCATAGGGAAATCGGTAAACTAAGGCACGTAAAGATTGTAGATGATGAGTCACATAGAACCTCAGGGAAAGACAGCAAAGTATTTGTTATTTTGTAGCCTCCAATGCAGACAACTCTTCCAGTTGTGAGCATCTTACATCTTATCTTAATTTCTGCTATGATCTGTGCTGCCCACTTGAGACCTTATATATTCCAAGTGACAGATTCTCTTCGCCTCTTCTAAAACGGCTTCGTCGTGATAAAGAAAAGGCTTACAGGACTGGAAGGCGCAGTGCTGTCAAACATCTATCATTAATGATCAAAATAGAAATACAGCGCCTAAATCAGATATATATCGAAACTCTAATGGGAAACCAGAGCTGCCGCGATATGTGGTCTGCTTTGAAGCAGCTTTGTGGATCACGCAACGGATCTTTTCCGGAACGGAACTCAACACCATCTTCATTTACATCTACTGGGGAGAACCAATCTGTCACCCCTGTGGAAGTCCTGAATGTACTTAAGTCCCTTAAATCTTACAAGGCACATGGCCCTGATTCGTTGTCCCTCTTCCTACTGAAAGAGCGTGCTGAACAACTTGCTTCACCTGTTCAATTTTTGTATATCATCGGGTAGCATCCCTGGTTGTTGGAGAGCTGCTCGGATAACCCCAATTCCCCAAAAAGGATCTTCCAAATATCGACCGATTGCCTGCACATCAGCATTATTGAAAGTTTTCGAAAGAGTCCTTCTTAACCGGCTGACCCTTTTACCTATCACTCATGACCCTATTCAGTTTGCTTACAAACATTTGCTTTCCACTCTTGGTGCTAATGTTCACGTTGTTCATTCCGTTTCATCCTTATTAGATAAAGGAGCTGGCAACGCCCATTTAACTTTTCTTGATTATGCTAATGCTTTCGGACCACTTGACTGCGGCATTCTCATTCAATGTCTTTCGGACTGTGATCTGGCACCTAATTTACTGAATGTACTAATTAATTACTCCATTCATCGGACGCAATACACTTTTTGTAACCGTAAATCGTCCTCCCTGCTAGAAGTTAACTCCGGAGTTTTTCAGGGTGCAATTTTGTCTCCATTTCTTTTTTCACTGTATATTAAGGACCTTCCCAACTTTACCGCCTGCAAGTATGCTAATTACGTAGTGGTCGGTTGTCCCTCAACTGTTCCCGATTGTTTCTCTCAACTTCAAGTTTGTCTCAATAACATTCTTAGTTGGTCGACTCCCCGATTCTTAATGCTAAATGTAGATAAATGTGTGGATGTTTCTTTTAGCNTGAATAATCAGCCTGAACTTTCTGTTAATGGTAATACCATCCCCAAAGCTAACACTGTGAAATATCTTGGAGTTACTCTGTCACACAATCTTCCTTGGTCTAAACATGCTGAAAACATTTGTATTCGGGTTCGTAAGCTACCATTCTACGCCTTTAGGCTTGAAAAGCTCGGCGTTCCCTCAAATGTCATTCTTAAATTTGTGACTGCTTGCATTCATCCACATTGGTTGTACTGTTCCCCCGTATATTTTTCCTGGTCTGAAGGAGAAAGACTTTATTCTCTTTTCCAGATCTCTTAAACTTCTATCTCGTTGCAGTAGCATTTCAAAGACCGTTTTGGTTGACTTTATGGTGAGCAAGCATTTTGACTCATGCGATCGATTTACCAGCCACATTCTGTCCAACAAAGAACACTGCGTGCACTCCCATCTCAATAAATCGGTCTCTCATCCGAGTATCCGTTCCCAATTTCGGATTCTTTATGCACGCACCACCACATAAAAACAGCATGAGCCCTTATTTTGCTCGCATCTTGATCAACCGAGCAAATATTATTGCTGACTTGAACAATCATCTCTCACATTAGGATTTTGCGTAAATCCGTTTGTTTCTTATTTAGTAAACCTATATTTCTTCTGTTTTCAATACTCAACGTTTTTCCCCAGTGTAACATGTCGAAAATGCTGAAAAAACGGGTGCATAAAGCTTTACTTTACTTTTACTACTTACTTACTATTTCCGATCATCCCTCCCTTGGACCAAACGCCTCAAGTAGCCTCTGCTGAGGAAGTCCTACTCACCCTTTGCCTGGACATGTTTTCTCAGTAAAGTGAGAGGACAAAAATCCAACATCTGGAGCTATAACCAAGTTGGTGAACCACCGGCAGTTCAGTTTGAGGACTTTGCTAAAAACCCTGATTCCAAATCAACCAAGAGGCGTACGAACCACACTCACCCAGTGGTCATCGGCTCCATTGGGTATCGAGGTGCATTGGGCACCTTGGACGTTTTACCCCTGCCAAAAGGCTTATGATCCGATGACCTGGTCACCGGCCCCCAATGCAGTGTGGTTCTCACGCACCACCTCGCTGCTAGCTGAAGGCTCCGGTTCTGAACTCCTTAAGAAAATTCACCTGCTTCGGTCTAGGGAACCAAGCGTGCTTAACACACCTACGAACAAACCACGGAACTGTTTTGCTATACAGATTATTGCTCCGTGATTTATTTGGCATACTGTTCGGGATTAGACATGTAATATATGTCAAACATATTGTAATTTTGTTAAGACGTATTGCGATATGGCAATCTCAGGTTAGTACCAACGTGACTTCCTTCGATAATCAGGAATGTTTCACTCCAATGCAGCTTACTTGAGACGTATCTCAGGCGGTCCTCTATCCGGTGATGGTTACCAGAAGAAAAAAATACTGGAGAAGTACTACATAGCTGACGGGTACACAGAAGAAATACATTGGGCCGATAACTTCATATTACATTCTTAATCAACAAAACAATACATACTTTTTCGATTTCGCCTGTCATGTCAACTAAACAAATCAAGGATTTCGAATGGCAACTAACTTGGGCAAGCGAAAATCCACCAGTAAACGATTTCCCGCGATCGGTTGATTCTGAACTGGCTGTGGAAGGTAAATGAGGTTGAGCCGGTCCAGGAGCGGTGCAAGTTTGAGTAGTCGGTAGTCTTGAACGTGACGGCGTTGATCCCGTAGAACTGGTCGTAGTGGTCGAGGTTTTCGGGGCAGTATCGGATCGCATCTGACGCATATCAACATCCCCGTGTGTTAAGGTTGCTTCGAACCCCGCCGGAGGGTCTCGTGTTAATGGGTAATCACTGGTACGATGCAGCGCTTCAAACACCTACAGACGATTGCAGTTCCATCAATAAAAAACAGTGTATAAGTGATAACTGTTTCCTCTGAACAGAGATTGTTGGCATGAATGGACTCATCGGGTCAAAAGAAAAACACCCTCGTGTACTCTCAGTCAGAAAGCAATCAGAAGATATAAAACAGGAAGAGATGGTTTGGGATGCACTGGAAACGGATTTGATCAGTATGACCTTTCTCAATTTGAGTGTGATCCATTCAAACAGAACGTGCTATCGCAAAATCAAAATTAAGATTCTGACTCGACTTGCAATGACGATGATGGTGCGACATCATTATTCGACCGCATGTAACGTATGACGCACAGCAGCTGTTTGGTGGCTGTGGTCCCATTCAAGAAAATCGCTTGACAGATGGGTAGCATCATACGAAGCTAAATGAGCATCGTCATTTGGATTCCAGCACGACAGATATCCCCGATACCTCACTTGGTTATGCGAAGGTTAGAAGCGCTACCTTGAACAAAAATCTTGTCACATTTGAGACAACACTTTGTATTCCACTCCCGAGCATCCGCGTGGAAACCGCATTTCCGTAAAGCCGATTCATCCAGCATAGGGTGACAGCTGTATGCAATTACTAAGACATATATTGAAGCTTGACTGTCAACGTGAGTAATTTTCGGGATGGACGAACCAACAAAGAAGCTACATCATGTCTGTGTCGATGAAAATCGACTTTATAATACAGCAAAATCGACTTGGGCCTGGCCTGATATGAAACGAGGCAAACGCTAAGTTGAAACTGTCTTCAAGATACAAAATCGAGGTTTTTTTGCTCAATTTGATGGAAGAACTGGTCGTGGAAAAGGTAGAAAAAAAGTCCGCAAGTGCTGACAAGAAAGCCCTACTGAAGACTAAGACAAAATTCTTACACGCTCACCTCGTTTTGTGTAGCACCCAGGTCAGTGAGAAGGATTGTAATACGACCTTGAAACTCCGCAACCGCGGTGGATCCACGTAGTAGTTGTAACAAGCCTTGTTTGAGTTTTTTACGCACGGAACTAACTTGTACATCGGAAAAGTGTGGCGGAAGAGTGACTAAAAAATGCGGGGGATGGGATCAGTGATTCGGATGACAACTTGGACAGCGAATATGATAGACATCACATTTTGTGACTCAAATGCGTGGCACTCTTATTGGCCTCGGTCTCACCTTAATGTTTGATACTTTTGACAAGAATAGCTCGCAATGGTGTGGAAACTCACTAAAAGATAAACAATCGGAACAATCATTATGAAATAACGCTAAACAACACAACGAATGAGCTCCTGTCAAATAACATGACTAAGAGTCTTCTGTTAAAAAAAATCAAATCTTCATTCGATGTACCCACATAGTACAGATTGTTAGGCACGCATGAAAACTTTCAAATATCGCAGTCGTAAATCCCAGCTGGGTTACAAATGTCGGTGTGTGTGTGTGTGTGTGTATGTGGATTACACGGCTCAACTCAAGGGGCGACCATCTAAACAGACGGTGTCTTATAGTTTGAACCCTCTACTACTGCTCTGTACAAAGGAGTACGCAAAAAAACAGTCCACAGCTAATTGGATGTCGTGATCTTCACAGTCACAGTTCTACGTTTGCGATCTCGATGTTCTCCGAGCGCCGCGAAGGTGATAAAACACGCGAAAACAAACAGACGCATGCTGTAACACGATGGAATCTACAGGCGTTGACCAAACTCGTGCAACATCACCCTCACTTTGAAAATCCATTTGAGCTTGCAATAGCATACTTATATATAGATGGCTATGAGTAAAGTGTATTTATTCCTGATTTTATCTCCAGCATCTATGTTCCTAGTTCATTTTCTGTCACCATTTGAATGTGCGCGACCTTGAGTGTCACTATAAAATTTGCAGTAGTTCGAAAGTTACAGCTCTCATTAAGAAAATATTTTGGGCAAAGCAGCATGGGAGCTCATTCTTTTTATTAGATGATTCCTGTTCCGTGAGAGTTTCTATTAGGTTGAGTACACGTATTCTAAATTTCTATTCTCTTTTCATTCAGGGCACAGTAAATAAGCAAATTATTGAAAATATTCTAGCTTGAATAAATTGATAAATTATTAGGCTACAAACTACTCACGCATTACCCCCAATACCGGAAGAACTGAAAACATAATCCAAGAAACACACAAGTTGATCTTCAAAAGTTGACCTTGAGGTGTGCGGCTCGTTGAATAAGCGTCCTGTAGTGTTAGCGTGCCCAAACCGGATGAAACTTTCAAAAGGTTTTGGCGTATAATTAAAGCCGAAAGGCAACTTAAACGATAGGCGCATAAATCTGTTGGCTCAGTTGATATCTTGTGGAAGCGCTTCTATGTGAACATAAATCCGATTTGTTGCATATTCAACGAAATTTCTTCATCAAGACATAAACGGAGAGGGAGAAAACCAGCCACAGCAAAGTAAGATGATGGTTGTATTTGATCGCAGCAGAGAAGAGTTGCACAGAACCAAACTGAAGGATAGTCCGGGCTGATTAGCCATTTTCCCCCCACGCTTTCGTTTGGAAAATGATGGCTTAATTCGAAATGCAGCTGAGGCCACGTGATATAAAGCTGTTATAGAACACCCAACAAAGCATAGCGCGTATTGATTTGACCAACAAATTCAAATCACGTCGCCCGCCCATTTGGCAATGGGTTTATCTCACTGGTGACCAACGAGTAATTCAGCATATGGTTAAAGCTGATCTACTGAGCCAGTTTTCTAATAAATTTCTTTTTACCTGTTAAAAGAAGTAAATATCTACACTGCCTAACGAGTTGAAAGGGATATTGATTATTGAGCACATTGTTTTGGGCTCCTGCATACGCCAATATGGACATAGGAAAAATTCCTGCACTGATAGGGGAGGTTTTTGATGAATGTCACTCCGAAAATGCATTCGCGGAAGTCATATTTTTCACATATGAAGGTTGGCATATCAGCTCGCTTGAGCTTGGTGGTAGAAAGCGGTTAGACCTAAATAAATATTACTTTTTCACATTTACGCAGTTTCTAGAGAGGTAGATTTCAATGTCAAATTCGTTCTGTCAGCGCGTAGCAGCTGGGATTTTAATTTAATCGGAAACTTTTAACTCTATCAGAAACAGGGATAAGTTAGCCACCTTGCTGCTGGTTGCCGGCGTTAAGGGTGTGCGGTGTATTAGAGGAAACTTGCAAATTCTGTTTGGTAGTCAACCTAGTGGATTCCATGCTAAAGTGACTGCCTCCAGTGCTTAAAAATGAAGAAGAGTAAGTTGGAAGAATAGTTTTAAGCCCGAATTTGTTCCTAAAGATCTGCCAAATACGAAACAGATCCATGATTTTTCTATGGAAACGATTGAGAACCGATTTGGCGATTAGAAGTAAATGCTTATTATTATTAACCTCAAATAGTTTAGACTATAGCACCGCACTAAAAAACAGTAGGAAGCTCACCATGAACTGTTTCAAACGACTGCACAATACGGTCCATGAACTGTGGCCGTTGACGGGCCACATTAACCAACGTATCCATTACGTGTTCCAGAAGGGAACAACTGATCGGCGAAACAGCATTTGTAGCCACTGCACCCCGGATCGGCAATTCCAATAGACCGGTGAGTAGACGTTCCGCTTCATCAGACAATCGGCGTGGACGAACCAAGCAAACTCCTGGAAGCAAGGAAGCCGATGAGGCGGCTGTGCTCGCATTCAGCACTTCCTGTAATTGTGCATTTGTTATATCCGGGATTTGGTCTAACGAGATATCGCCCTCACTGAAACGCGGTATATCCGAATTCGGCAGCCGACGTGAGTGAAGAATAATGACCGACTGAAAAAAAAGCCAGCAGACCTTACACGTGTATTCCAATACCAACAGATGGATTGAGAAACTTTCAGTGCGTGGTCGAGAATGAATCATGTTTTTACAAAATTAGAACGTACTGCTTGAATAATATTCATCAAAATCCGTAGGTTAATTGCGCTAGTCGAGTAAGTGAATGTCACTGGCATTCGTTATTTGAACACTCAAATGGGATCTTAGAGGAGAACGCTAAAAACTTGAATTATTCAGCGTTTTTTTTTAAACAGAATTTTGGACCGCTCCTGGGGAGCGAATTCGCTGATACGGCTCGCAAGATTTCTATTAAAGAAGGTTGCGCGATAGCACATTTCTACTGCCAACAAAACACCCACTCGGTTGCAACTTTAAAGAGTGCTACTAGCGATGCTACTTGGTACCACATTTACTTGTTTCTTTAAGGATTCAACCTAGAAGCCAACTTTTTCCAATGTGGAAGGTAGTCCGTTGAAGATAGAAGATACACACCTGAAGGAAATGAAACCTAACAGAAGAAAAAAGCAAATATTTTATCTAAGGCGGATTAGAATACTGCAAATGTTTTGTGGAAGAACTATCTATTCTGATTACGGACGATGCAAGACGCCTCAACAAAATGTACCTTGAGACCGTTTAAGGAAATAAGAGCCGCCTTGAGATGGCATCCACTTTGCAGCAACTCTGTGGCCCCGGTGTTAGCTTGTGTCTCAACGCTGAAAACAATATCGTCCATTCGCTACGAAAATTGAGTCTAGCTATCTCTCACTTTCTTCTCAGAACCCATGGTGAAACAAGGCATGTTTCTCCGGACGAGATTCTCCAAATATTGTGCGAATCCAAGGACAAAAAACTCATTACCTAAATTTATTAGTTCCCTCCTTGTTTAAATTATGTGCTGAACTGTTTGCTATGCCTATTGCTCAATTTCTCAATATTTTTGTCCTCCCGAAAGATCCTAGTGGTAAAAAGAGATCGTAGTATTGACATCAACCTCTCGGACACATCTTTCAGAAAAAGGCAGCACAAGAGTTTCGAGCGGTCGACTGAGTCGAATGCCACTTTCGGATCGAGGAAGACACAGAGGGTAGGTTTACAAAAAGAATGTCGGTGTTCCAGAATTTAACGAAGAGTGAAGATGTGGTCGATACAACCTCGACCAGGTCTAAAATCAGCCTGACTCTTACGCGTGTACTCTTCACGTGCGGCAGACAATCGACGGAGTGTGATCCCAGCGAGAAATTTAGAGGCAATGTTGATTGTTCATATACCGAATTCCCACTCCTTTAGGTAAATACATCCGTACGCAGAAACACCATTCCGTAGCTTTTCCATCCATTGATTTATCGTAAGATAATTTTTACTAACCTAAGGAATATCTCACGCAGTAGGATTTATTCTACTCTACAAAGTCGGATTTATTTCTGTTTTTCCATTTTTCCATTTCGATACACGTCTTCGGTGCAAATTCATTCACTATTGAGGATGCGACCTCTGGGTGCAAAAAGCGGTGCTGGACACGGTTTGACTTATTTCAAGACGGTACGAAATATTAGAGTTAAATGCCAAATCGCTAGTAAATCGGAAATTGTAGATTAAATAGATCATTTTGATAAATATCTTGCGGATATGAGCACT